TCCCTTACTTTTTATTTAGGTTTTGAGCTCAAAGTCTGATTTTTGAGTACACTTTTTTTGAATTTCAACAAAATCTAGCACGTGTGATTTTTTTAAGAAATCGAAAATCAAATACTCCATTTTATTCTAAATAGCATCTTTTTTCGACGTGTCAGCAAAAACATCAATTTGAAATGGATTTATAGACACTTAAATCGATGTCTTTTAAAATGAGTCTGAATAGTCTTAAATAATTTTCCAACAAATGTCAGTGAGAATTGGATGGATTTTAGTGAGTCGGAAAAACAAACCAAATCAATTTAACTTGGTTTTTTAGACACGATCGATTTAGACCCGACTAATTCACATTTTTTAAAAAGATCATTTTCAGCTGATTTAAAATATGTTTCAGTTCCTAAAATGTACATAGTTAACCATTTTAAGTTGATCCGAAACTGTTATTGTCAAGGTATGCAGCCTGACAAAAATGTATAAGCAAAATGCAGTCTGTCGACGTTTTTCTGAAGGCGCCTTCTTTACCAATGTATACTAAGTTTTCAAAAATTAACAAAAATTTCCAAAAACGTTTTTTAACTGTTTATTTTTCAAAACATTACCCAAGGTGAAGAAATTGTGGTCCAGAAAGGATCTTTATAGTCAATTGGAGGAGCTTAGGATATCATTTTGGTCCACCTAAAAAGGCCGAGAAAAAAATTGGAAACATCGTTTAAAACTCTTGCTTTGCAGACAGAGATCAGAGTGAAGATTGCTTCTTCGTTAGTTTTTCTAATGTTTATGATTATAAATGTTTGATGTTTATTCAAAACAATTTTCTAACCTGCTCCTCCAAAAATCATACGAAAAAGAAAACATAATTGTGTCCAGAAAACTTCACAGGAAATATGTCGAAACTTTTTCAACTTTTAACTGTTGTTAAAAAACTTTCATTGCTCAAGCCCCGGCGATCAAATGTAGAAAAAAAACTTACTGAAAATTCGAGCTTCACGTTGCAAACAGCAGAAAATGCTGTCAATTTCACATAATGATGAACTGCACATTTCGATTTAATAATTTAAAAATTGAAATAATTTGACGAGAACTGCAGAGAAAAAATTCTGAGTACAGTTTCCATCAAAATCTTTGATGAAAAATGCAAACCTATTTTAAGAATATTTTCATGATTGAAATCGTGTTTTTGCATTGACTTTCATGCTAGTCATTTGTGCTCAAAATGGTAAAATAATCAAACCTAAGTGTCACAAAATCTATAATCAGTATAATTAATTAGTTAGGCCAAACTTCTTATAATGTACTTTTATAATGTACTTTTAAAATTTTGTCAGTGAGGGTAGTACAACTATAAAAAAAGGTCCTGTGATTTCCTATGTAATTGAAAGTTAACAAAAACTGAACCTGTTTTCAAAAACTTTGAGGCCAAAAAATGTTTTTTCAGGATCCCATCTAAAAGTGTTTTCGACCATTTGTCATAGTTTTTTGTAACAATTTAAGAACTGGCCTACAGTTGGAACGTGTCTTCTTGGCTGCCTTTTTCAAATTTGTTGAAATATGTTCTGCTACTGCTCAATTTCCGTCTACTCGAATTGTCATTTTCACCATGATTGTTAATGACCTTTTCTCTTGTTTTTAGCATCTTTTTTTCGACGTGTCAGCAAAAACATCATTTGAAATGGGTTTATAGACACTTTAATCGATGTCTTTTAAAAAGAGTTTGAATAGTCAGTCTTAAATAAATTTAAAACTAATTTTAGTGAGAATTGAATGAATTTTAGTGAGTCGGAAAAACAAACCAAATCGAATAAACTTGGTTTTTTACGCTCGATAAGGTTGCGGATAAATATTGAGAGAAGTTTTATCATAGTTGCTAAAAAAACTATTGACAAACATTTAAAAACTTTTTTAAAATGTTGGGTGATTTTTTGAACGAAAAATAAAAGATTTTCTTTATTTGCTCGATATGGTTTGAATAAGAATGAAGAGAAGTATTATCATAGTTACTAAAAAGACTATTGACGGAAAGCCTAAAAACTTTTCAAACTTTTCAAACAAAAAATAAAAAAAATTCAAAGGAATACAATTTTCATATGAGTGCAAAAATTAAATTTATTGCCCTGAGAATTAAAACGGTTCTACCATTGTTTTTTCAAAGTTGTTTGGTCATTTTGAATCATATATGAGGCCTTGCACGGCCTAATCTTGCCCAAAACTTTTGATTAGAAAGACAAAATATAAATATAAAGGACAAAACAGTTTTACCCAAGAAACTGAGAGCGGGTTTAAATTCTCAGCACACTAATTATGTCACAGAGTAAGTTTCTGTATGTGGTCTTATCGCATTTGAAGAAAAATTGAAGAAACGGATTGAAAAAAAAATTTCACTTTTTCTCGCAATTGAAGAAACAAGTTGAAGAAAAATTTTCACTTTTCCTCTGGGTTTCCTTTCTCCTTCTCATCTACACTGTCCAGGGGCCACGAAACAATCAACCCTAGAAAGTCACTAATAATCAGGGGAAAATTAGAAATGAAAAGGTAAATAGTTTTTTTTTAGAAACTCCTTTCTGAACTTCGAATTCTGAAACTGAACTTTTTGACAGGACAGCAAAAAGAACACAAAAACAGAATAGCGAACACTTAGCGAAAATGTAGTAAACATGGCTCTTTTTTTAAACTTCCCAGCATCTTTAAAACAATTTCATGGTGTAATAAATGGTTTTTCAAGGTTGATTATGAAAACCAGATATACTTGTCATGTCCTATAGTTAGTTCACATGCCATTTTTGTAACAGTCAGTTAATCTAAACAGAAAAAAATACTGCTGATGTGAGATCCTAGAGATTTTCGACTTATACTTCAACTTTAGGAACCATCAGCTTCAATGGGTTGTTCTAATAATCCAGGAATGCATTGTTTTCTGCTGTGAGTGCCTCCAACTTCATATTCGACACCACCAGTGTTTTTTTCTCCGATTATGAATATGGAAATCGGAGATCCGCTTTTGCTCCAGACTTGCGTGGTTTTCCCATTAATACGAATTGGCAACTGGACCGATTTTCAGTTCGGTTTTTATTTCATGTCGAATTGGCATTACCATATAGTCTCCCGAACTATCAGAATCCCATGAGTGTGCCATTGGTTTGCCTGGTTTGATCCAATCAATCGAACTTGAAATGGGGAAATGAGGTCCTACGATTCCCGTGGATCATCCAAACCTTGACTCTCTTGCTCCTGGGTTATTTCAACTGATCCACGTCCTCTTTGTCGTTCACGCTTCCTCTTGCAGGTACGTTCGTAATTTTGTTTTATTTTTTAACACAAAATACAGGTTACCCGCTCGCTTGATATCTATCCATGTGCTCGCATGTGAAGTTTGATGGATCGCAATTGTAGCATCGATGGTTGGTTGAAGTTTGCTACGGTTCAATCCGCGCCCTTTGTATGTGCGCCTGCCTCGCGACCGATTGCTGCGGTAGCCTCCTGTTAACACTCCATTGGTTTCATTTTCTACCTGAAATGCTCATCCGGTAGACCCTGGTGAAGAACTTTCCCGTATATGTCGATAGGTATGTTTTTGCATATTTGTTCCCGCACACTTCCTCTAATGTCTTAAAAGATCGACAAATTCGTTCTGCGCCTTGCGATTATTCTTGCTTACGATAAGCACAATCTTTAAAATCGACCCCTCTAAGTTCCCTAAATTACATCTAGCCGCAAGCCCAATTAACACTGAGTGAAAATTCTCCAGCGATTCGTTAATATGCTGCTTCCTTAAAAGGAATTCAAAATTTTCATAAGTTTTATTCCTCCCCTTCTTAAATTCGGTCTCGATCTTGTCCAGAATCCTTGGGTGATGTGTCGCAGACAGGTCCAGGGGTGGCCGCCTCTTATCAGGCACAGGTACAGGTTCGAGATTGGGATTTGCTCGTTTTCCTGTCTGTTTTTTTTTGTCTACGTCGGCTGGCAGACCGGTGATTTGTGTCGGCGTGAGCGCGTCGTCGAAAATACACTTTCAAGACTATGCCCCAATGAAATCTCTCTTGTTTCACGACCATGCACCATTGAAATTTGTTGAACTAAAACTCCCAAATTATCTGTGGTTTGTTACATTTCGGCAGCCAAAACCCAGGACTCCAAGTGAATTTGTCCCAAATTGGTACTGCTGAAAGCGCCATGGTGAAAACGTGAGTTTGCAAGGCAGTAAAATTGAATCCATAATCAAATTAATCTTGCAATGTCAATCAAGAAAAATGTTTCAGGGGTTAAATAAGGGCGACAGACAGAGCCGAAGGCTGGTAGCTGTTGTAAGTAAAATTGTCACCTATAGATGACAGATGATCGAAGGCTACAGATCAAGAAACATGCTTGAACTGATTTAGCACCATATGATATTACCAATAATAAATAGCATTTTGCTGAAAAAGTAGTACAGAAAATCTCGTCAAGCAGAAAATCTCGTCAAGCAATTTTTCAAAAAAAAAATTTTGTTCATTATAATTTGCGAGTTTATCACCCCCTTAAACTTGGTTGAGCTGAAACCGATGCTCAATTTAAACCTATATCTCAGAGTAACATCAGTTTTCGCTTAATTTTCAAGCAAACAAATATTGAACTTTTATCGGCCCATTCTTGGCAAAATGTTTTTTCTATAATTCTTTAATTGATCATGTTTGTTCCGAAATCTTTCCGGACGAAATATGATCGGAATTAATTCCACGGCCCACTTGCCATTTTTGAATCACAATCAGACTCATTAACCAAAAGTTTACGGAAACAAAATCTGATGCATTTTTTTCACGATTCTGATTGTCATTGAGTTGGCATGCGGGCGAAAAAAGCTAGTCGAACCGTATTTGAGCGTCGTATTAACTTAACGAAACCACTCACTGCATCATAAGCGTGTTTATGTGCGAGGTGGGGGAAAAATAAGTTTAATAATGATTTATAACTAGGGAGGTAAAATAACGAAAAGTTTTATACTGCTTACCAAAATAGCCCTAAATTTTTACGTCTTTTTCTGCAATAAAATACCTCCAATCATGGCAGGAATGAGCTTGCAGCGCTTGAAGATCACTTGGGTTGGGTAGTTCAGATACTTCAAACTTTTATTAGAACAACCCATAGTAACCACTAACAAAAACGCCGACACGAAGTAAATTTTGGTGGGGATCTTTCTCACAAATTCCCCGTTCATTACAAACTCAATCCCTCCAAACGGGATATAGAAGGCGAATTGAACCAAAGTTAAGAACCATCCGAAAGGTTTCAGTTCAGGCTGAGTGAATAAGGACTCTTGAAGCACAACGTAGCAGATGTAAACTATGAATACAAGAAGCACAGATTGTTAATGACCTTTTCTCTTGTTTTTTATTTAGGTTTTGCCCATAATCTGATTTTTGGTAATTTTCCTGATTTCATAGCACAATTTTGAGCTCAAAGTCTGACTTTTGAGTACAATTTTTTTGAATTTCAACAAAAACTAGCACGCGTGATTTTTGTAAGAAATCGATAATAAAATACTCCATCTTATTTTAAATAGCATCTTTTTTTCGACGTGTCAGCAAAAACATCATTTGAAATGGGTTTATAGACACTTTAATCGATGTCTTTTAAAAAGAGTTTGAATAGTCAGTCTTAAATAAATTTAAAACTAATTTTAGTGAGAATTGAATGAATTTTAGTGAGTCGGAAAAACAAACCAAATCGAATAAACTTGGTTTTTTACGCTCGATAAGGTTGCGGATAAATATTGAGAGAAGTTTCATCATAGTTGCTAAAAAACTATTGACAAACATTTAAAAACTTTTTAAAAATGTTGGGTGATTTTTTGAACGAAAAATAAAAGATTTTCTTTATTTGCTCGATATGGTTTGAATAAGAATGAAGAGAAGTATTATCATAGTTACTAAAAAGACTATTGACGGAAAGCCTAAAAACTTTTCAAACTTTTCAAACAAAAAATCAAAAAAAAATTCAAAGGAATACAATTTTCATATGAGTGCAAAAATTAAATTTATTGCCCTGAGAATTAAAACGGTTCTACCATTGTTTTTTCAAAGTTATTTGGTCATTTTGAATCATATATGAGGCCTTGCACGGCCTAATCTTGCCCAAAACTTTTGATTAGAAAGACAAAATATAAATATAAAGGACAAAACAGTTTTACCCAAGAAACTGAGAGCGGGTTTAAATTCTCAGCACACCAATTATGTCACAGAGTAAGTTTCTGTATGTGGTCTTATCGCATTTGAAGAAAAATTGAAGAAACGGATTGAAAAAAAAATTTCACTTTTTCTCGCAATTGAAGAAACAAGTTGAAGAAAAACTTTCACTTTTCCTCTGGGTTTCCTTTCTCCTTCTCATCTACACTGTCCAGGGGCCACGAAGCAATCAACCCTAGAAAGTCACTAATAATCAGCGGAAAATTAGAAATGAAAAGGTAAATAGTTTTTTTTTTAGAAACTCCTTTCTGAACTTCGAATTCTGAAACTGAACTTTTTGACAGGACAGCAAAAAGAACACAAAAACAGAATAGCGAACACTTAGCGAAAATATAGTAAACATGGCTCTTTTTTTAAACTTCCCAGCATCTTTAAAACAATTTCATGGTGTAATAAATGGTTTTTCAAGGTTGATTATGAAAACCAGATATACTTGTCATGTCCTATAGTAAGTCCGCCTGCCATTTTTGTAACAGTCAGTTAATCTAAATAGAAAAAAGTAAATTGCTGATGTGAGATCCCGGAGACTCTCGACTTATACTTCGACTTTAGGAACCGGATAAGTGCAGTTTTCCGACAGGAAATCCGCAAACGAGATGCAATCTTTAGTCGAGCACAAAGTCATTACCCCGATTTTGGCCGAGTGACACTAAACATAATTAGAACACTGTAAAAACATACCCAATTTTGGTAGAGAAAGTCGACTATAGGTCAAAACCAGTCAGAAGATACCTGATTTTCCTGAAAAAAAGTCAAAATATAGGTCAAGCATTGTCTTAACATACGTCAAGCAAGACTAGATTTTTTTTGAAAACTCATTTTTTGAAGTTTTTAACTAATTGAAATTTGGATACTGAGCAGAAAAATTCTGCTCACAAAACACAAACATGAGAAAATAACAATCAACAACAGTCATTTGGGAGGACTGCTTATCTCAAAACTTGAAATTTTTGAGGGAATTCTAAAGTTTTTGGAGATTTAGCGGTTCCTGCTACAAGAAAAAGTGAACTTCGCCAAAATTTCCTTACTATCAGTATGTAAACCAACAGTTTCAGTCCAGATTTGTCATCAAACTTTAAAAAATGGAAAATTCAGTTTATAAAAATTAAGTTTTGGTGCAGGAATTTTTCAATTTACTGAATTTTATATTCTATTTTCTCATCATCACATAAAAGCGCTCTGGAATGCATTTTAATTTATTGTTTTGTTGCTCAAGTTACTTTTTAGTTTAAAAAAACGAGAAAGATGAAGCATAGGCCAAGCACAGTCGAACTATACCCATTTTGATCGAGAAAGTAGAAGCATACGTCGGGCAAAGTCGGAATATATGTGAGCAGATTAGAAACGTAGGTCAAGAACAGTAAAAAAAAACCGCAAAAAAACCATTAATTTGAGCTCGGGTAGTGTTTTTTAACCAGACAAAAATTGGTTTTTTAACTCGCTAATTTCGCCTAAGAACTAGATTACAGACTGAACTCAAATTAAGCTCACAGTTTTAGAGATGTCCGGTCGATAAAGTTAAAACTTACTAAAACTTTATCGAGAAAGCCAAAAAATACCGAAGTTTTTTTTCGATAAAATCAAGACATGCTAAAACTTGATCGAGAAAGACATGCCAAAACTTGATCGAGAAAACTTCAAAAAACTCGAGACGAGCTGAAAAAATTTCGAGAAAGATGAAACAAATCAAAATTTGGTCGAGAAATTTGAAACATAAGTCGAAATTAGTCGAAAGATACCCATTTTTGATCAAACTTGAGACAGGCTGAAAAGTGGTCGAGAAAGACGAAATATACCAAAATTTGGTTGAGAAATTCAAAACAAAGGTCGAAAACAGTCAAAAAATACCATTTTTGATCGAACAAACCAAAGTTGAAACTCATTAAAATTTGATCGAGAAAGCCGAAATATACCAAAGAAATCAAGACATGTAAAAGTTCGATCGAGAAAGGCATACAAAAACTTGATCGAGAAAGTTTTCAAGAAACTTGAGACAAGCTGAAAAGCGGTCGAAAAGACAAAACAAACCAAAATTTGGATAAAAAATTCAAAACATAGGTCAAAAACAGTCTACAAATACCCATTTATGATCAATAAAATAGAACATAGGTCGAGCACTGTCAAAACTTATGTCGGGCACAGTCAAAATATATGTCGAGCAAATTAGAAGACGTGCTAAAATTTGATGCCAAAATAGATAAACTCAAGACATGCCCAAACTTGATCTAGAAATAGATAAAATAAAGACATGCCAAAACTTGATCGGGAAAATCAAGAAACTCGAGACAAGATGAAAAGTGGTCGAGAAAGACGAAACATGCCAAAATTTGAATAAGAAATTCAAAACATAGGTCAAAAACAGTCGACAAATACCCATTTCTGATCAATAAAATAGAACATAGGTCGAGCACTGTCAAAACTTATGTCGGGCACAGTCAAAATATATGTCGAGCAAATTAGAAGACGTGCTAAAATTTGATGCCAAAGTAGATAAACTCAAGACATGCCCAAACTTGATCGAGAAATAGATAAAATAGAGACTTGCCAAAACTTGATCGGGAAAGTCAAGAAACCCGAGACAAGATGAAAAGTGGTCGAGAAAGACGAAACATGCCAAAATTTGGTTGAAAAATTCAAAACATAGTTCGAAAACAGTCGAAAGATAACCATCTTTGATTGAGAAAATAGAAGCATAAGTCGAGCACAGTCAAAACATAGGACGGGCACAGTTGAAATATATGTCGAGCACGTTAGAAGACGTGCTAAAATGTGATGCCAAAATAGATAAGCTCAAGACATGCCCAAACTTGATCGAGAAATAGACAAAATCAAGACATGCCAAAACTTGAGCGAGAGTTCGAGACAAGCTGAAAAGCGGTCGAGAAAGACAAAACATACCAAAACTTGGTTGAAACATTCAAAACATTGGTCAAAAAAAGTCGCAAGATACCCTATTTTTATCAAACTCGAGACAAGCTGAAAAACCGTCGAGAAAGACAAAACATACTAAAATTTGATTAAGAAATTCAGAACTTAGATTGAAAACAGTTGAAAGATACCCATTTTTGGTCGAGCAAATAGAAGCCTAGGTCGAACACAGTCAAAACATAGGTCGGGCACAGTCGAAATACATGTCAAGCTCATTAGAAGCGTAGGTCAAGCACAGTCAAAGAAAATGACCAATCTTTTGAGCTCGGGTAGTTTTTTTCAAGCTGCCGTTTTTTTCAAAAGTTGTTTTTCAACCTGCCGTTTTCGCCTAAAAGCTTGATTATAGACTGAACTCAAATTTAAGCTCACCTTTGTGTGATTTAGAGAGTTGAGATAACGCTTACAGATCTCAATGTTAATCACGCAGCCTGAAACAAATCTGAGATGGATCAAAAGTTTTATGAAAAATAAGGTGTGTCGAGAAAGTCTAGACAGCTGAAACAAACCCATTTTTGGTCATGAAAGTCGAAACTTATAGAAGCGGGTTCCAAAAAACAACTTTTTAAAGATTTCGGGTCGAGAAAAGTGAAAGATACCAAATTTTGATCGACAAAACTGAAATATACCAAAGTTTTGTCGATAAAGTCAGCACATGCCAAGTTTCGGTCGATAAAGTCAAAACATGCCGAAATTTTGTCGAGATAGTCGAAACACGCCAAATTTTTTTAAAGGAAGTCAAAACATGCCGAAATTTGGTCGAGAAACTCGAATCAAACCGAAAAGCGGTCGAGATAGACGAAACATATCAAAATTTGGTCGAGAAAGTCAAAACATACCAAATTTGGTCGAAAAAAAAAATCGATCACCTCGATCCGAGATAAAAAAAGAGCCTTAATTTAATTGAAAATGATCTTACATGCATTGTCGCTTGTGATTCGTAGCTTGTACAATTTTTCGGTTAATGACATGAATGCCAATTTGTTCAGGTGATTTTTGCTGTCACTCACTTGTAACTGGTCTCTGTTTTCCCCAAACACCACCACAA